TGCAACTCCTTTCACATCTTGCAATCATGCTACATGAGGATCCACTTTACCCAGATATTCTTTTATTTTTTAAACATTTTTTTATAACTTTATTTTATTTACTTACTTATTTTTATGTGGTTCTGAGGATCGAACCCAGTGCCTCACACGAGTGTGAGTGTGCTACCACTGAGCCACAACCCCAGCCCCAGATACCCTTTTCTTTAAGCTAACTTGAATAGGTTCCTATTCTGGAGAGTCAGATTATTTCCCAGTCAGAAACTGGTACCAGCAGAGAAATTTGAAACAAAAAACCATCAAAGAAAAATTTGGAGGGCTGGGGCTGTGGCTCAGTGGTAAAGCACTTGCCTCGCATGTGTGAGGCACTGGGTTCAATCCTCAGCACCACATAGAAATAAATAAAGATACTGTGTGTTCATCTACAACCAAAAAAAATTTTAAAAAAAGAAAACTTTGGAACTGGCTGGGGAGTTCCATCAGGCTTGTCAAGTAATAGGAATTCCTGCATCCCCAAAGTCCCCAGGAGCAAAATGAATAGAGTGGCTCATGTTCTAAGGGAGTTAAATAATAAGAAATAATTGGAACAAGTCTGGGGTTAACTCAGGTTTACTTAATTTAATTTAATTTTATTTAGTACTGGGGATTCAACACAAGGGTGCTTAACCACTGAGCAACATGCTCAGGCGTGTGTGTGTGTGTGTGTGTGTGTGTGTGTTTGTGAAATTTTGAGGCAGGGTGTGTGTGTGTGAAATTTTGAGGCAGGGTCTTGCTGAATTACCAGGGCCCTGCTAAGTTGCTGAGGCTGAGTTGAATGTGCAATGCTCCTGCCTCAGGCTCCTGAGTGGCTAGAATTACAGGCATTCACCATCATGCCCTGCCCCACATTTATTCTTAACACAGCAGAGATTTGCCACCCCAAGGGAATCCCACAGGGCTGCATACAAAGGAAGCCAGCAGCACCAGCTGCCGGCAAGGACTCCTCATGACAGTCTCATGACAGGAGAATCCTCCCCACTCATCAGTAGATGAAACCAGAGACAGATCTGAACTCATACCACTGCCAAGGTGAGTCAGAAACTCATAGTACTCAGGGTATGCTCATC